ATCCTGCCTCTCCCTCTCCTTCCAGGCAAAGCTAAAGTTGGAGGCAGCTCCCCTGGCCTGTCTTCCCCATCAGCTCGCCCCTCCTAGAGCTGTACACTCTGGCAGCAAATTTTCTCATTGCTGAAAAGCATAAGATGAAAGCGAGGTGGTGGTGGAAAGAACCTAGAGGATTTGATAAGGTGTTAAAGAGATGGAAGCAGAGGTGAGCCAACGAGTTGGAGTGGGAGAAGGTAGCAGGCGGGAGGAGAGAGGAAAGGTGCGAGGCCCCGTAATTGAAAGTCAGAATGATTGCCGGGGTTTAACAAGACATGTCAAGAGGGCATTCATCACCCAAACAGATGCTGCTGTGAAATGCAGCCGGTACCGATTATTCCCGTGAAAGGGAACCAGCTCCTTGTCAAGGTGCCTCTTGGGTAGGAGAGAAATGGGCCAACACAAAAGGCCACTGGCGTTAGGGCTGGGGGTTCTGCAGAGAATTAATGGGTTATTCATCCGAGAGGCTGGAGGCCACCCCCATTTCTTTGCAAACCCTCTTTCTCAAGCTTGGCTCTCCCTGCCTCTTCCCCCGCATCTCCCACCCCCATCCTTCCACCCTCTCTCCCAGAGGATGCTCAGCCTGCAAGGCCCTTGGGTGGGCGGCACCCCCCTTCTCCTGGCTCCCGGCCTCAGTTTCTCTATGTTTGCAGCTGGCAAGAGCTCCCTGTGTCCTCGGTTCTGTGATTCCCACTCCCCATTATATTGATTGTCCTGTCGCCTGCCATCTCTGACGGCCTGATGACCAACAGCAGTTTGCCCCCTGAAAGAGTCAGCGTGGGTATTTAGAGCTGCATCCACCATCTCTCAGCTCCGGGCTTGGCCCGAGGGAACGTGTCTGCCTTGCGCAAGCCAGGCCAGGCTGCCTGGGCAAAACCCCCCTCCACCCTCCCCCAGGATCAGCTCTGTCCCACTGGCCACTGGCAGATTCAAGGGCAGCATGAGCAGGTGACATTGGGCACACCAGCTTCTGCCCCCCAGACCGCACAGGGCACGCTGCGGGCTTCTCTGTCATGGTGCGGTCTTTCCTCTGCTGTCACCAACATCCCCAGTTGCCTCCTGGTGAATTATTTATGCCTCTTTATTTATTCAGTAAGTATTTACTGAAAGCGACTAAGTCACCACAGGCACCGAGACAGATGCCGTGTGAACGCAGGTGAGTACGAAGACGGTCTCTGAGGACCAGGAGGAAAACTGACCCTAAGCAAGCGAAGCCCAGAGGAACGTGATTATGCGTGTGATCTGCACAGCGAAGGAAAAAACCGGGGAGGGGGCTGTCGGGGAGAAGACAGAGTGGGCGGAAGGGCTGTTCTCATGGGAGTGACCAGGGAAGGCTCCCCTGAGGAGGTGACTTGGTGGCTAATCGCAGAAGGAAAACAAGGGAGCCAGGGACCCACGAGCCGGGAAGAGAGCATTCCAGGAGGAGAGACCAGCTTGAGCAAAGACCCAAGAGCTAGAAAGAGCTGGTTCATTTGAGGAACGAAAGGAACATGGAATGGTAGTGCTTATGAGTAAGAGGCAGAGAGCACCAGATAAAGACCAGCCAGGGTGGGCGGGGACCTGTCCTCCCCGCTCCCCAACCCCCCAGGCAGCAACAGCCACTGAGAGACAAGCGGAAGAGTGCTGGTCAACTTAATGTGTCCAAGTGGTAGTATTGGGGTGGCTGGGAGAGCTTCAGTGCTCCAGAATTTTCCCGAGTCTCCCCCAGGCTGCCCCAAAACTGAGTAAAAATAATGTGCCTGCTGGGCAAATGATGCCTGAAGACAAGGTTCTGATTCCTTTGCAGCTGGACGGCCATCCCACCTCCCACCCCTATGGAAAAATTCTGAGACTTGCAACTGTGTCTCCCCATCCCAAGGGGCGGGGGCAGCAGAGAGCCACCACCCTTGCTGCCCATCACGGAGCCCCCCGAAGTTAGTGTCTCTGGAGCCACAGGGGCGCCGCCCTGAGGGTTCCTTCCGTCCCTCCCAGGTGTGGACGACCCCCACCAGCACGGGCGAGGTGTGGCCCTGGCGGACTTCAACCGCGACGGCAAGGTGGACATTGTCTACGGCAACTGGAACGGCCCCCACCGCCTCTATCTGCAGATGAGCGCCCACGGGAAGGTCCGCTTTCGGGTAAGAAGGGGCCTCTCTCTCCGCCACCCTGCAGTCCTGGGATTGCAGCCCCGCCTGTGCCTCCCACCAGGCAGAGCCTGGGAGTGGGGGTGGGGAGCCACAAGAAAGGTAGCATCTGGGGGACAACGATGGACTCTGGCCCTGGCTCCTATAGCATCTCTAGTGGCCGGAGCAGAGAGAGCCAGTAGCAGAGGAGGGAGGGCAGCCCCCCAAGGTGGGCAGAGCAAAGGAGGCTCTGGGTGCGGCAGAAAACCCCATCTGTAGCCCCTGCCTGAGCTTTGCAAAATGAGGTTCCGGCCATGGGTACAGTGGGGAGTGGGGTGGAGGAGGTTGAGGCCACAGATCCAACAGCTGCCCCCTAAGGACAAAGGGCAGAGGGTGGGCAAGCCCCTCTACTCTGTGTGCCCTCTCTGAGCTGCCAGATAGACGGGGATGCCACGAATTCTGTGAAGGTCATGGAGGTGCCACCAGCCTGATGAGCTGGAGTTCGGGGCTTTCTCGAGAAGGGTAGTGGGTGGCTGAAGCTGATCTTGGGGAGTCAGGGTTGCCCTGGAGGTCCCTGGGTCTTGCCAAAAACCCCTAAGGGAGTGAGAAAGTTCCAGCGTTTGCCTGAGGTTCCATGGTCCCAGGGAAGTCTCTAGGCACCTGTGTTGGGGTGACTTCCACCAGCTCCTTACCCGTAGGCAGCCACCCTGGGGTGCTCAGGCCCAGCTGCTCGCTCCCTGCAGAGGCTGAAGAGCCAGCTCGCTGGGTGGGGAGGAGGTGTGCCCTGAACTTGGGCCACTGATCCTGGGATGTGGATGATTTGTATTCAGCTTTTTGTTCTAACTCAGGTTCTCAACCAGTAGCAATGTTGACCCCACCGGAAGACACTGAGCAATGTCTTCCTGGTTGTCACCAATGGCAGAGCGTGCTGCGGGCATCTAGTCTGCAGAGGCCAGGGATGCAAAGAACGGCCCAGCCCCGGTGTCAGTGCCGAGAGTGCCGAACCCTGCCAACCCTCTGATGGCGCCTCCCCAGAGCTCACAGGAGCAATAATAATAATAATAATAATAATAACAACAACAACAGATGCCACATTTATCAAGTGCCTTCCATGGGCCAGGAACTGCACAAAGCACTTTACATACATTATCTTGGAAGCCCAGGCATCCCAGGGGTCAGCCCCACGGGGGCTATGCAGGTTTCCATCTTTACAGGATCAATAGCATAATAACGAGTTGGAGATACTGAGTCCTCTTTGTTCCCCAGCTCTTAAGGCCCTGCACAGCCCTCCCTGGCCAGCTGGCCGGGCTCTTCATCAGCCTCATTACTGAGCTGATGGGGACAGCCTCCCTCCTTGGCCTCCCCACAGCAGGCAGCTCGCCAGCAGTCCCAGGCCGCTCACTCCTGCAGCCAACGGAGAGGGCCTGCAGTACGGGGCCCAGGGGCAGGCCTAGGCAAGGGGCAGAGGGGCACTCCCAGAAACACCACAGTGCCCTGCCCAGCCCTCTCCACGTGGGCCCTGGGATTTAGGCAGCATTCCTCCTATTTCCCAGGCAAGCCCCACACCTGGGACCCTTTTCTAGGCCCTGTCCACACTTTGGGGTCCCAGCTGGGCTATCCAAAGCCTGGGGTCCCCCTGAGCCATGGACAAGCACCTTTGCAACCTTCCAAAGCAAATGTCTTTTTAAAAATGTCAAGAGACGCCCAAGAAACAACATAATCAAACAGAGACAGCAAAACTGCAACCGAAGGCAGCCTCTGCCCCCTTTCATGAGGCTGAGAGCAGGAGCAAGGCCAGGACAGGCTGCCGGAGAGCTAGCCCTGCCCGCTCTGTGCCAGCCGTTTTACACGCAGCCCTCGAACCCGGGCCACTGTTACTACTCCCCGATGCGGAAAGTGGCATCCGATGGGTTTAGTAACTTGCCTTAAGATCACACAGCTCATCAGCGGAGAAGTCTGGATTCCAATTTCTGTATCCACCCAGCTTCTGACTCTCACAAGGAGGAGTAAGGATGTGTCCCAGAAAGGGCACAGCACCTGGAATCAGAAGCCTTGGCTATCGCCCTACTTACTAGCTATGACTATGGGCTCTCCAGGACTCAGTTGCCTCACCTGTAAAATGGGAATGCTAATGTCTGTGCTTCCTCAGGTGAGGGTGAGAAGGCTACATGTGATAGCAATCAGGAAAAGCCCAGCGCTTCACTGATGTGAATTGGAACTATCCCTCTTCCCTCCTTGTTCCACAAGCAGCTTGAGATTTCCGTGGTCCTCAGCACAGCCCCCCAGGTTCCTTACCTGGGAGGTGAGAGAGGAGGCGTTAGGTCGAGCTGCCTCATCTTGGTGCATGCACACCCACACAAGGGGCAGTCGCCCTCTCACCCGCTCCCATTCTCCCACGTATCTGTCTGCTGACCTGAAGCCTCTCTCCTCCCAGGACATCGCCTCACCCAAGTTCTCCATGCCCTCCCCTGTCCGCACAGTCATCGCCGCCGACTTTGACAACGACCAGGAGCTAGAGATCTTCTTCAACAACTTCGCCCACCGAAGCTCCTCAGCCAACCGCCTCTTCCGGTAGACGCTACAATGAGGCTCATGCCCACTCACCTTTGGCAGCTAGGGGGTCAGGAGGAAGGTGCAGGACTCAGAAGGGGCGTCCCAAGGGCTGAGGTGGAAGATGGTACCCTGAAGAAGGAGCAGAGAGGAGGGAAGAACAGAGATTGAGCAAGAGGTTGCAGGCATGGAGGGTGAATGCTGAGTAACAAGTGGGCCTCCTGGTGTAGGGGGGTGGGCGGATAGTGGGCAGAAGGATGTGGCCCAAAGTGTGCCCAGAAAAAAACACAAAAAGCGGTTACAGAGTCAAATCTGTTTAAGTATGCTTGAGTCAAGCAAATACAGGCAGGTTTTTGTTTTTTTTACTGCAGGACTTCTCAGAGCCTTTAACATGACCATAAGTATTTTTATCTCCCAAAAGGTGGATAAAATATTCCAAATAATATTTGACCACAAAATATTTTTTTCAAAGATTTTTCTATTGGGATTGGTGGTCTGCAAGACATCCTTTGAGAAATGCTGGGTGAGACCTTAATGGTAGATGAGTACATGAAGTGACCGAGTGAAAGAAATCTGTAAGCATCTGGGCATTGTGCCTAAGCAGGCAGGACTGGGTTTGTGGAGGCAGCCCTTATCTAAGAGGGGTCAGGAGAATGTTGGCATTGGGTCACCCCGAGTTCTTACTTAAAGTAGAAGCCCAGGGGCCACCTCGATCTCCTGAATCAGAATCTCAGGATGTGAGGCCCAGGAAGCTCAGAATCATGGATCGGCTGCCTCCTGCACGCCCCCTACAGGGGATCGAGCCTGCAATCTTGACTGGATGTGCCCTGACCCGAATCAAACCGTGACCTCCTGGTTCATAGTTCGATGCCCAACCACTGAGCAACACCAGCCAGGTGGAATGTCTAGTTTTAACAAGTGCATTAGGCATCAGGCATAAAGTTTGAGAACCACTGTTGGGGAGCAAGCCTGCGAACCAAGATGGCCCTGTCCTTGGTATGGAACATGCTAATGGGGCTCAGGACCAGGTGGGGAGAAAAGGGTAGGCCAGGGGCCTTGGATTCAGGAAATGGGCCAGATCACCTGCTGGGCTCCCCAAGGTCCCATCCCCTCCTCCAGGAGGGTCCCAACTATTAATAAAAGGTGAGAGCTGTGACTAAGTGCATTTAAAATATAAGTATTAACAAAGCATCAATCTTTGACTGGATGTAATCACCCCCCGGAGGCACCAGATTTACTAATTAGGTGCCTTGCAAAAAGCTTATTCACAACTTCCAGATTAATTGCGGAAGATCAATTACTCGTTAACAGAGACACTGCTTTCCTTCTCAGGCTAATAAAGTGTCGCTTGCCAGGGCCCCTGATCACCAAGGAGCCCAGCGCTCTCATCTCTGAGGTCCAAGAACCCAGACACCTCCTCTACCCACCGGCCTGCCCAAGGGCCAGCTGGCACAGGGCTGTCCTCAGACAGTGTCACCACGCAGTTGCCCCATGAATTCACGTGTTTGAGTCTCTATAGCAGCCATGGAAGTCACTTCCCAGGGACATGGCTGTGCCCCAAACCCCCTGGCAGATGATTGGGTCTTGAGCACCCAAGGCCCCCACACAGCTGGAAACTGGAAATCTAGCCCCGACCCGTCCCTGTCCTGAATGGAACATGGTCTCCGTGTAGGAGGTCCTGGAGCCTCAAAGCTTCACCGGGCTTGCGTCTGCACGTCCTCCAGCAACGCTCAGGGCGACCACAGAATGCAGCACCAGACCGGAAGCTTCATGAGAGCACAAGGGGCCCTGTTAATAACGGCAGGACAGCAGGCACTGACTGGACGTACACGCTCACACCACTTACCCATCTAAACACCACGCCTCTGGTCTGTTCTCATCTCTCCACCCTCTGCCACCCCCACTCTCTCCCTTAGCAGTGGTTCTCAACCTTCCTAATGCCGCGACCCTTTCATACAGTTCTTCATGTTGTGGTGACCCCAACCATAAATGATTTTCGTTGCTACTTTATAACTGTAAATTTGCTACTGTTATGAATCGTCATGTAAATATCTGATATGCGGGATGTATGTTCAGGGGTCGCGACCCACAGGTTGAGAACCGCTGCTAGGGGATTCCTGTGCCCACCTGCAGCCTTCTCCCTGTGTCTAGTCCTGCAGAGCAAGCAGTTGAAAAGGCAAATCTGGCCACGCCCCTCTTCCCCTTGAAACCTTTCAGAAGCCTCCTCTTCAGCACATCCCACACCTACCAGCTTTGTCCCCGGCCTCCACACTCGGACTTCCCCGTTTACCACTAGGCACCAGGCACCCCAGCTCCTCTCCGTTCTGGGCTGTGCCAGCCCCTGACCCTCATGCTGCCCACACCCTCTACTTCGCTCCTGCCTCTACGTCTGAATGCCATGGACTCAGGATGCTTGTCTCAGCTCAGCCCTTCCCCTGGGAAGCCTGCCCCGGTTTCCCAAACCTGGATGAGCTTGCCCAGCTCTGCCCTCCCCTCGCCCCTCTCCCTGTAGGCCTTCGGCACTCTTTCTGCATGAGGTTTCCTGTGGTCATGGGTCCTGAGCTCTTCCCCCCTGATACACAGCATAGCCACAGGCCCCCACGCCATGCCCAGCACACACAAGTTGCTGCAGAAGAACTTGTTCAGCGAATACATACATGCAATGGAACTGCGGGGTTTTATCCTCGGGAACCCTTACCTGCCTGGTCACCTGAACCAAAGGGTGTGTCTGCCCAGATGGGGCAGAGTCGGCAGGACCCAAGTAGTCAAAGGGACAGTGGGTGTTAGCAGGCCAGGGCATGCACACCTCCAGCAGGTGTGCACACAGCCAAGTGCACCCAGGCACGCTGCTCACATGGGTCAGCACAGACGCCCCATGTGGATGGAGGACATCACTCAGGGCATCTGCTCACCCTGCAGGCACCCTGCAGTTGTACCAATGCTCTCTGCCATCCACACCCCATAGGCTCCAGCTCAGGGGACCCAGTCCCCTCCTGAAAGCACTGGCCACAACGCAGCCCTCTGGTGACTCTGTGATTTGGGCGGACAACAGTCACCTGCAATGTGTGTGTGTGTTGGGGGGGGGTAATTAAGAGCCCCCCTAGCCCCCTGTTCGCCCCCAGATTTGTGCCACACATGTAGAGCACCCAAGGTTGGGAGAATCTAACGAGTGAGTAAAATTAGAGAGGAAAGCTCATGGCCATCGGCAGCAGCCAGCTCTGTGGAGAAAGAGCAGGACTTTTGCAGTGGACTTTTCTGGAACAAATATTACTGTGATTCCCAGTCAACACAGACAGAACCCCTGCAACCCAAAGGGCCCCATTTCCTCCCTTTGCCTCTGAAATTCATCTGTGTATCCCACAGACGTGTGCTTGGAGCGCTCTGAGAGCCAGACACGATGTTAGATGCTGTGGGAGATGCAAAGATGAATAATACATGGTCCCAGCCTGCAAAGAGCTCACAGTCTAACCGGGGAGATAAGACACATTCATACAAAGCTTTAACACAAGGCAGGAAGTGATAAAGGCCAGGCAAGTGATAAAGGCAGAGCAGAAAGGCATTGCCTCTAGTGGGACGACCAGGGAGAACTTGGGGGGGCAAGGGGGGGCGGAGTTGAACCCTGGGTACCATCCAGAACTTGAAAACCCAGAGCCACTTGAAGGAAAGGGAAGGGCATTTGAAGGTAGCTGTGTCCTTGTCCCTTCTCCATCCATCAACTGCCTTCCCCAGGCTGTCTATAACTCATCCATTAGGAAAGGAAAAATCCATTTTTACCAATCTAAGTTCAAACCCAAGAAGGGAACAGGCAGGGTGTGGCCAGGGCCTGTGAACCAAGAGTGGCCCCGTAGGCATGCAGGTGGCAGCCCCTGCACAGTGGGACCCGCGATGCTCCAGGGGCCGAGACTGGAGTAAGAAGTAGGTCTCTAGGTCCAGGGGCCGACTCAGGCCTCTGCAGCTAGTTACTCATCCATGAACAGCCTGTCTCTTCTCCTACAGCGTCATCCGCAGGGAACACGGTGACCCCCTCATTGAGGAGCTTAATCCTGGCGATGCCTTGGAGCCTGAGGGCCGGGGAACAGGTGAGGGCACCTCAGGGCTCGGCCTGCATGCCCCTGTCTGAGTGCTTCCCATTGTCTGGGATGAGGGAGGGAAGGATGAGGCAGCCAATCCCACTCTGAGGGCTAAGACCCAAGAGCAGGGGCAAGAGTGGAGGAGGGGGTGGTCCATTCTCCCAGTCCCAGGGCAGCTGGGGGCGGGCCGGCTGAGAATCTGTGGGCAGTAGGTTCTCTGGCGATGCCTTGGGGGTGGGGATAGAAAGGAGGGGCTGGGGTCCTGAAGTCTAGCCCCTCCCCTCTTGGCGCTCAGCCTGGTGTCAGAGACAGAGCGGTCTTGGAAAGGGTACTTGGTCTGGGTCTTGTTCTCCAATCCGTAACATGGGGCCAATTACATCTGCCTTCTCACCTCTCTGGAGTAGTGAGGACCCAAGGAGACCATGTGTATGCAAAGACTTAGTAGATTGATAAAAACTGTGCCAGTATCACAGGCGTGTCTAACACAGAGGCCAGAAGGAAGTCCTCATGGTCTGGATAATAGTGCCCCCCATTCCCGTGCCAAAGCCCCAGCGAAGGAAAGGGAACCGTCTTCCGTGAATTCCTAGCACGAGGTGCCTGATAGAAAGGGGAGGGTGGGGGTGGCAGCCACAGTCCCAGGCCCAGCACCTCCCCACTCGGCTGCCCCGGGGGTCCCCCAGCCGATGGCCAGAGCGCAGTCCGTGTTGTTGCAGGGGGTGTGGTGACAGACTTTGATGGAGATGGGATGCTGGACCTGATCTTGTCCCACGGAGAATCCATGGCTCAGCCGCTGTCCGTCTTCCGCGGGAATCAGGTGTGCATGGACTGGGGGACCCTCAGAGCCCAGCCCGGGGTGGTCCCCTGGGCCT